ACTCCTAGAATTATAAGTGCTCTCAATATTTTTTCTTCCTGTTCTTCAAACTTGCAACATCTTATTAGATTTCTGAGGTCTGCGTAAAACGAGTCAAAATTTTCATGAGGTAGTTGTTTCCTTGAAAATAAAAGATGAATGCTCATGGTCATATTTTGTTTTGGTACACAGTGTTTTTCCAATGTCTTTATCACGTTTTCAACAGTTTCAACCACAGACTCATCTTTTATTGAGTTGTACAATTTCAAACCATCTGTCCCCAGTAGATTTTTCAGTCTGGCTAATTGAATTTCCTTACTTTCTTTCGTTGTTTTTGTTGCAATAAAGTAAATGTCGATTTCTTCCTTAAACTGTTTAAATTTGTCTGAAATGTTTCCCTCCGATAGGTTTAGTGGATCTGGTTTGTTGAACTCCATAATCTTTAAACTTTACTTTCTCTTCTTCTATTTAAACTTTACGACTGCGCCATGATTATAAGTTAAAAGTCATAGTTTGGTATTAACTATCTTTATAAAACCAAAAGTAAATATTTACAAAAACAACATAAACAAATGAATACTAAACATATGTTATTTGTCACATACCATTGCACATTTTCGGTTATGAATGAAAACAGTTTTGCTGGCATAATAATGGTTATAAAAATCTTAGAATTTATTTTAATAATTGCTAGCTAAATTAACTACAAAGTTAAATATATTAAAGTAATTTAGTTTGAGTGATAAATCTTAAAATTACAAACCAAAGTTATTTGATTAATTGAATAAAGATTTTTAATTCGTTAATTACTTATTTAAAAAATTTAAATTTCCAATAGAACGTACTAAACTAATTAGAGGTATGTTAGAATATTGGTATACGCACCGTAAAACAGAATGCAGCGAATAATGCATACAGACAGACAATTGTATTCAGATTCATCCAAAAAGATGGAGAATTGTATTCATGCCATCTTTTCACCATTTTAGGGTACTTTTTCGTTAGACTTCTCTAGTAACTCAACACATTAAAATACCACACTATTTTTTTACAGAAACAATAGACATAAATACAATCTATCAAAACATGTCTTTATCACTGCTGATTAATGGTATTATCTTTATTTCCTATACAACAAGTCAAGTCGTTCAATTCCATTTATATACACGTAGTTTTGTTATATGTATCGTGATATCTTGCATAAGGTATTTGCAGTAAGCTGTCCTCTCGTAAAAATCCTTTCTCTATCCCCATCTTTAGAAGGTGAACTGCAGCTTTGACCATTCTTCTGAGTGGCATTTTGTTAGGAACTAAAACAATAAGCAACTTTGAAGTACAATTAAAATATTGGTATACGCACCGCAAAAACCATTGCAAAGAATAATGCAAACAGACAGACAATTGTATTTGATTTCGACCAAAAAGATGGAGAGTTGTATTCATGCCATCTTTTCATCACCATTTTTAGATACTATATAGTTAGACTCTCTAGTAACTCAAGATATTAAAATACCATACCACTTTTTTTACAGAAACAACAGACATATGTACGATCAAACAAACATTGACTGTATCACTGCTGATCAAGATATGATATCTTTATATCCCTATACAACAAAATATTTAGTCGTTCAGTTTCATTTATATAACATGGGTTTGGTATAGGTATCGTAAAAAAAACAATCGTTTAATTAAGCATATATAATATTATACGCTACATGAAACTTGTAAACAATAAGACTGTTTGTATAAGATTATATTATACCCCATTATATTATACTAGTGCACCTGTTGCTCGAATTCTCGAACAATTGCGAAGTATTACAGGCGTTATATCAAAACGAATGACAGCCATAATTTTCAATTACTTAGAAAACGAACTCAATCTGAAAACAAACGCTATTGTGTGTATCATGTGTTTACTATAAACAGCTGTAATTAATACAATTAATTATTCGTCTGTTTAAGGGAACAAAATCTTTTCTTTCATAAGAAATACATTTCTTAAATGTATATTTCTTAAAAAGCCCGAGGACTCTTATTGCATGAATTGGTAAAAGGGGAGGTCTACACAAAAAATACTTGGCACACCCGTTTGAAAAAATACGTCCATTATTAACGGAGGAGTAGTGTTTCGTAGAAATCACCTTCAGGTATAAGGATACCATAAAAGGATATACCATATAGGATATAAGGATACCAAAATTTTCGTCTAGGTGTGCAGATTTGCAAACCAACCTTGCAATTTTGAAAAAGTGGCTCTGAACCCGTGGCCTTTAAAGTTCCCATGTTATTCTAGTGAAGAAAATATTTGTGTTACACTATGATCAGCTGTATCATTTAATTTATGTTACTAATATTTTAGTTGCAGTTTAAGGAAATGTGTGTTACAAACATCTTACTGACTTTGTTGAAATGAAATATTTACTATTTGAATTTGGGTTGGCGTAAATTTTACAATGGAAAAGCAAGAAATCCTGACATTTTGATATATTAAAAATATTGAATGAACATTGAGCTGCATTTCTTGAGCAATCACTGAACGAGCCAATTTGCAAAACTATGGAAACATAGGAAAGCCATAGAACACAGCCATAGAGAACAGCCTGCATTGTTATTGTTTTATGCCTCTATTCACAGTTTTTTTGTTAGGGGGGAAGAGTTGCGTAAATGTTTCCAATATAATGAGGGGTGTTTAGAAATGATTCGTCAGGTTTACAACCTTTATTGACCTTGACCTGTATACTGAAGAAATACTGATGAAAACTAAATCAACAGAAATAAATAGTTTGGGTTTTTTTAGTTACTGTTCTTGATGTGCCGTCCATTAGCCGAGGAGTAAGCTTCTAATCTATGTTGTAAATTGGTCCACACACCAGCTATAATGGCTGATTGAATTTGGCGATGCGAATGCGTTTCCGTAGGCTACTGAACTCTTGAAGGTTTTGAGGTTTTGGTATACACTTTTCTCCCCAGAGAAAAAAAAAACTCACACCGTTGTCAGTATCGAGTAGGCCATTTGAGAAGGGACGAGCAATTTTCGGTCTGTCATCCACCAGAGGGGAAGTGTATCTATTTAATCAGAATTATTTTGAACGTGATGTTAAAACACCCAAGAAAATGGTCAGAATATTTACCAACCAGTTGTTTATAAAAATGTAAAACATGCTCTTTAATTACACATTCAAATTATTATCGTGCA